GGAAGCCTGAGATTTTTCTCTTGAAAGAGTGCACTGTTGTCTCAGATACAAAAGGCATGCTACTAAAACCCAAGCGCACTGAATTTCTGCATAAATACATGCCTATAGTGACATGAGCCGCAGGTATAGCCCTAGTCTCAGTGGATAACTCTACACCATATTCACACCCTTACCTCTTAGGACTTCTTTAAGAGTGACCATCCCTTGACACTCATTTTAGACCTTAGCAACTTCAGAATTAAAGATATCTAAACAAATGGAAAAGCTAGGTTTCTAATCTGCACATAATGTTTGCACTGTTTAGATGGTCACTGATCTGGAATACACTAGAAAATCATGGGCTTAACTAAAATCACGTTCCAGGCACCTACACTATTGAGAAACTTGTAGTAAATCAGTGCTGCATCTCTTGATCTTGTCTTCTCTTTGTAGTATGCTAATGCATAGGCATAGACTTGGAAGGCTGTGATTTTAAGACTGACCAGCTATGAGCTTTACATCAAATTACAGTCATAAGAGTCAATCACAAAGAGAAAATGTTTTCCAACAAAATTTCCATAAACATGATACCTGATTTCAACTTATGTTATTAATTAGGAAGCATAAACAGTCTCATGCCACTTAGGTGTTATCATTTCCCCTGGTTAGCAGTGATGTTAGCTACAGTACTTCGGTTTATTACTTTCTTTGTCTCTTTGGTTCCAAGACTGCATAGTTCCTCAAGTGCCGGCCTGACATCCAAGCATGAGCCCTGCAAGATGACGGGAGTTGTGGTTGGGAGGGAGACTGTGCAAGAACACAAAAAAAAGCATTAGTCTGATGCTTGCTTGGAGACATTGAGATGAAAAAATCTCATCATGACGAATGAGAAGGATTTACATGTTTGTCAGCAGAACTAGGACTTCACCCAAAGAGCTGATCAATACAATCTATAATGCAAAGCAATATTGAAACAGATCAGATGTTCAAAAAAAAACCTTAAGTTATTACAAACACCTTTACTGAATCAATATGGAGGTCATCCCCCATGGCATTCAGGATACTCAGTTATGTTTTGACAAGCCAGAAGAGCTGTTTTAGATTTCTCATGCTAATTTCATGCTCATAAAACTACTGTGACAGAGGATAACTTAAGTAGGTAGAGGTCTCCATGCCTTACTGCCTCACAAAGTAGTTTATTAACCATTTCAAGCTGATTTACATACAGTCCATCTGTCTAGGTATTTATACCTTACCAATTTTTACAGACGATCAAGTTCTGTGGGTGTTGCCTACAGCAAGTGATATTGATCTGTTTCTGCTACACTCTACACACTGCTACAGGAGACACCACAAACTACCTTGCTGCCACTGATTTCCCACAACAAACGTCTCATTTTGCACTTGAGATGGCAAGATGATCAGGAATTGAAGTAACACTGAAACACCACCAAGAAGTCACACCTTCTGCCCTTTTATCTGCAATACTTCTGTGTCAAGAGGAGCACGTCTGATCGAAGTTGCTAAGGTGAGGTTTTGGGAGACCTATTATCTGTGTGGGAGCGAAGAAGGCCGAAGAACTCAAGTGAGGTCAAATTCAATGGTTAACAATGCTTCAATGGTTAACAATGCTTCTGGCTCCTAGTAGCTTTTTAGTGCTCATCACCCAGCTAGAGAAAGGAAATCGAAAACTTATAGGACAAGAGTTTGGTTTGGAATCACCTGAAAAAAGCAAGAAGTCAACAGGTAGCAAACAAAACCCACTTTCCACAGCAAGCTTCCCAAATCCCCAATTAATGCATATTTTCAGATTCTAAGGCTTCAGACTAGCTTTGTGAGTTATTACATTCTAGAGTTCATCATTCTCAGTTCCTCTATATACCGTAGCACCCTCCCTTAAAAACAGGACTTTGCCTTAAGGAAATATGTTTGACCAACCCACTGTACTTCAGCAAGGATAGGAGCTAAGAGTGGACCAGTCAGTAACAGCCAATTTTCCCTAATTGTCAAAAATTAAAGCAAACCACTTATTTCCAGGCAACCATGATGCAGATAGGTACATCTTAAAATATTCATCTTCCACAGTATTCTCTAGCCAGCTTAAGAACTCTAGTATTGTAATTCTGCCATCTCAAACTGACACATACCATAACCATCTCTGCGAAGACAACATACTAAATATAGTCCAACAAAAGTGAAGCTGAAGTCTTTATAAAGACACCTTGATTAACGTGACATGACAGAGACAAGCAGATCTAAAGAAACTTTTACCTTGTAATTCCACATCATTCAGCAGGAGTGAAGGGAAAAGACAGTTAAATGAATTTGGATTCCTGTCCACAACACAAAATGCCAAAAAGGGAAGTAGCTACAGAGAAACTACTGATTGATAAACTGGGAATTAATCCCAGAGATTAAGTTTCACAGAACAAACTCTCTACCAGAATTCATGGCTGTACAGCTTCCAGCATCAACTGCACTTCACTCCATCCTCAGCAATGACAGCACCATAGCCTACAAATACTAACCTCCAATTCCCCTGCCATCAACTGAAGTAAAAGCACTGCCAATGACCAGTAAAATGCAGTAATTTAACTAGTGAATGTATACATTAATCTGGGCTACCAATACGCATTCTGAGTATGTTTACTTAACTGTTTCTTCAGGATTTTTAATATAATCAAATCCCTGCTCAAAGATGCCATTGCACAATACTGGTAAGGTTTTTATGTCTCAATACTGGCAATACAAAAGAGACACAGCATGAACTAGCACAGAACATACTGATGAAGCACAAACTAGAAGACAGTGAGAGAGAGCGGCAGGTAGAGGAACAAGAGTGGACATCCAACACCAGAGCACCTGGTCTATGCCTCAGGCTTGATTCATTTACCTTCTCCCATACGAGAAGAGGAACACCCACGGATACACAAGATACAGCACTAAGAAGAGTGGCTCCTCAACTACTGCACCCTATGAACTGCTCTGAAGCTGTGAGTTTCTCAGAACAAGTAATTAGCTGCCGTACAGCTTCAGAGACCAGTCACCTAGAGCTCAGTACCTACCGCATACTCTGCATAATTACCTCGCGTGCTGGATGGCACACGGTGAGCTGAGCAGGCTGAACTATGCTGGCAGAACAGTGAATTCTTCGCTACAACCGTACAACTAAGAAAGCTATTGCTGGTCAGGTAAGCCAGTATTGCTCCATAGTCCCACATTTTCTTTGTTCTGACCACTGGAATAGGTAAACTCGACACCATTCAGGCACTACAAGTTCACCAGACAAGCTCATGCTGGACATTAAATACAGCATGAGCAGCACCATTAAATACAGAATACAGTACACAGACCTTCGTGTGGCCAGGTAGATGAATAATCAGTCACTTGCAATCTGCTTCTAGAGGGCTTGATTTTAAGACCTTAGTAGAGTATCAGAAGAGTATTTTATTTTTATTTTTTTTTAAATAACTGCAGCATTAAGAGTCTAGCATGTGCTGGTCTCAAAGCAACCTGAAATCCACAGGCAACAGCATTTAGATGATCTTGATTTAGATCAAGACAGTGTTTGGAAGAGGACCTCTGCTATGAATGTTAGCAAATGTCCAGTACATAACTGCAGACCTCAGAGCTGGTGCTGGGTCTGCTCAGTCACACTTACATAGGAGGGAGCCTACCAGTAACACACACCCACATTCCTGGTTTTGTCCATCTGTTAAAAGACGTTCTGCAAAGGAACTCTACGTTGCCATGCCCCAGTGTGTACCATCTAAAGAGTCTTCAGAGTATGTGCCAGCAAATTTTGTCTTCATCTCAGTGTGCTAAGATCCCACCCAGAAGTCATCACACAAGCAACTTCACGTTCCTTCTCCAAGTAATTTTTGTAGTCCTTCAGTATGTAGGGTTATTACCATTCCCTCTACAGATAAGGGTTTGTACTGTTCATTAGGGAACTGCTGCATGAGAACACCGCTGCACGAGAACAGCAGCAGCAGTTAGTTTATGAAATGGAAGGGTCTTCCTTTTTTGTTTAGTTTTAAGTCAGGTGTTTGTATCCAGAAAGGATCCATTTAATTCTGGAGAAAGTATCAAGTTTATTACTCTACAGCAGTTCCCAGTATTTGCAGTGAGTTAACCCCTGCATGACAAATCTATGAACAGTACTTATTTTAAATAAATGTTTTCCATTACATGAATTTAAAAGACTAAGCAATCTTGCCTGTTTAGCAGTTTCAAAAATATAGAAACCCAAAATACTGTACTATCATTTAGACTTTTGGCAGGTTTTTGAAACACGTTACCACTTCCCTGAAAATGCAGACAGCAGCTGCAAGCTTAGGCTTATTCTGCTTGGATGCATCATTTGTTTCAAATGGAAACGAATACAGGAGGAAAACAAGATCTAAAGACTGAAAAGAAGCCGTTCCTCCCTGCATCTCGTACAGGGAGCGTGCTCCAGCGACTAGGGCAGCGGCAGGGATGCAGCTGTTGCCTCCCTCCCAGCAAATTACTACACTGGAGAATACCAAGCGCCCTTAGCAGCTCGAGCACAGAAGCACTCGCAGCTCCCTCCACATTACCGCCTTCACGCTCAGATTCCTGCACGACCAGCACACAAAAGGGCTGGAGCGGTCACCTCTATAGCTTTAACTACGTGCCGGCATTGAGAAAGCCAGCACATAGGCTTGGTCGCGCACTGCGAGCCTGCAGACAGCCAAACCACACCGGGGCCTCTGCTGCCCGTGCATGCAGACGGGCATCCACCCGGCTCGGAGCCGGTGGGGACAGAAGCGGGGTGCGCTCCACGAGGACACCGCCGCGGAAAGTTTTCACGGGTACCTGCGTTACTCCTCCTGCATGAGCCGGAGCCCGGCTCACGGCAAAGCTTCCTCTCTCCCTGCTGGAGGGATGGAGGGAAGGAAGGAAGGAAGGAAGGAGCCGGGCTCCCTGCAGCCGCGACCCCCGAGCCCGCGGGCTGCGCAGCGCTGCCCCCCGCCGCCCCCAGCCCCCCGGCTCCTTACCCCATGGCGGTGCCGGGCACCGGCGGTGCCTCGCGGGCCGCTCCTCGCCTCGCAGGCCCGGGGCTGGGGGAGGCGGGGGGACCTCGGCGGCGGCCGCCCGCACCCTAGGGAGCGCCCCCCGCGGGCCGGGCTCCCATGGCCGCCCGCAGGCAGCGGCTCCGGGGGCAGACGGGTCCCCTCCTCCCTGCGGCGCCTCCTCTCCGCGCGGGGCTGGCGGCTGCGGCGCTGGCGGCTCAGGGACGGGGGCAGGCGGTGGGCGCAGGGCTCCGCGCCGCCGCTCCGGCTAGCAGCAGCCCCGCCGGCAGCGCGGCGGGCAGCGGCGCATCTTCCCGAGGAGGCTGGGCGAGCCGCGGCACCGGCATCGGGCTCCCGGCGTGCGGCGGCCGGAGGACGACGACAACGAGGAGGAGGAAAAAGGATGAGGAGGAGAGGAGGAGGAGGAGGAGGAGGAGGAGGAGGAGGCGGCGGCGGGGGGCTGCGGCCGCGCGTCCCCCCGCGGGCACCGGGGGTGCCGCCGCCGCTGCGCCCGCCCCCGCCGGTGGCTGCGGTGGCTGTGGAGGTGCGGGAGGTGGCGGCGGTGGGTCCGGCGGCGGCCGTCACGCCTCCTGCTGCGGCGAGCGGGCGGCGGGCATCGCGCTGGGGGTCGGTGCCGGTGCGGAGGGAGGGAAGCGGGGAGGGGCGGCGCGGAGCGAGCCCGCGATGCTCTGCGGCGGGGCCGCGGGCTCGGCACAGCCCCGCCGCTGGGGTGGGAGGGAGGAGGAGCTGGGAGGGATGCGGGGAGGCAGCGCCGCGTCAGGCGGTGCCCGGCGGCTGCTGCTGCTGCTGCTGCTCCGCCGCCCGCACCCCCCCGACGGCCCCCGACGGCCCCGCGGTGCTGGTGCCGGTACCGGGCGCTGGCAGCGGCCCCGCCCCGCCCCTACGGCGCCGCCCCGCCGCGGCTCCCGCCCGCTCTGCCTCCATCCGCCGCCCGGCCGCCCTTAAATAGCCCATCACGTCACCGCGCTCCCCTACGCACTGACGTCACGCCCCGCTCCCGGCGCTGACGTCACCGCCGTGCGGGGGATGACGTCAGAGCGGACCGCCGGGCCGGAAGCGCGGCTATAATAGGGCAGGGCGGAGGGGCTGAGGGGAGGGGGGGAGCGCGGCCGCCTCCGTGCGCCCGCTGCGGGTCGGGGACGGGGGGAGGCGCCGGAGGGGGGCTGTGGGCGAGCCGCAGGGGGTGGAAGGGGAAGGAGACCCGTCCCCGAGAGGAGGGAGGAGGGCGGGTGAGCCAAATGGCAAAGGGAAGCTGCGAACGGACCGCAGCGTGAGAAGCCTGCCGGGAGCCGTCCCCAGCAGCAGCAGCAGCAGCGGGGTGCCACACGGATGGGCACACGGGGGAGAACGACGCCTGCCTCAGCCTCGCGTGTCTCACTGACTTAGAGCCTAAACTGAGGGCACCACGCTACAGAAAGTTCCGAGTGCCTGTGGTGGCGTCGCTCTGAGGCTTCGTGTGGGCAGCGCTCGCTGTGCACGGTTACAGTCAGGCTGCTTTGCGCTTCTGGGCTGCTGGTGTCAGCCGGGGGGCTGCACGTACTCAGCCTGAGAGAGGTGAAGCTCTGTGCATCGCCCACCAAACACCAAACGAGATGTACAGGTTTCTAGCAGCAAGCCTGTTCATGGCAGTCTCGGTTGTTGTTTGGGGAAAAACAAAGATCCACGCTGTTGGTTTTTTTTTCTTCTCTTCCACATTGTTTCGCTCTTTTCACTGTTACAGACTAGGATAAAAAATAGTTCAGTCTAGACAAATGTAAACAGCACACGCCTTATAAATATTTTCCTTGATGTCAAGGAGCTGGGAGCCCAGATTGATGAGCTTCTCAAAGGCCCACATGACATTTTGCGTGCAGTAACAGCAGGTCAAGAGCAAAGAAACCAAGGCTTTAAATCCATACACAAGCAACTGTTGCATCAGTTTTATTCTTTCAGCTCAAGCTCGCACACTAATGAAAACGCTTCAGTATTTCACTATGCCCAAAGTATTTTGTTTAGATATCACAGAGATGGCTCCATCTGTCTCTCTGCCTTTCAACTCGTTCACGTATTTGGCTTGCATGAAGTATGATGTTTTCCCACTGCATGGGTGCAAAAACAGAATTCACTGAGACTGAAGATAAAAGAAAAAATATAAAAGAAACCAAACAGACAGTGAGCCCCCAGGGGAAAAAAAAATAAAAAAAATGCATGTGCACTTGAGAAACAAAGGTGTGAACAGATTCAGGGACAAAACAAAACTGCCATCTCCAGAACAACCCTGTGTGGGATACCAAGAATGTATTTATACTGACTTGTGAAATGCCCTATATGTTTCATGCTCCTCTATAAATAACAATATGTGAGTACTGGGACAGGTAAGATCCTGGGTAGGGTAACGAGCTACAGGGGAAAAAAGAAAAAAAAAAAAAAAAAAAGGCCTCCAAATGTCATAGTATCTTTTTTTTCTCCTCCTTTGTATTCTTTCTCCTCCTTCATCTCCTTCTTCTCCGTATTCTTCTTCTCCTTATTCTTAGTTCTTCTCTTAAACAGTGTTAATTTATTGTTACAATTAAGCGTAGCAGCTCCATGTAATTTCTTGCTTCCCTTCCATATTTATTGTTATTGTTCTTCAGGTCTGACTAAGCTATCTCTAAGCCTTAAGCTTCCTCTCAATTACATGCTTTTACAATTTTGATAAGTTTCCAGGTTGATTTGGTTGAGTTAACATTATTTGTCTGGTGGAAAAAGCCTTTGTTTATGCTTGCCAAGCTAACTGAAATCACTTCTCCGTCTTGCCGTTCCACAAATTAATGTAAGAAAACATGGTGACATCCATCAGCTAAAGCTGCACTGTACATGCAGATATAAAGACAGCAAGCTAGGAGATTAAGTGATAGGCAGCATACTGTGCCATTAACAGAAGCGATACACAATCGCCTTATCTTGAAGACTGAAGAAATACAATGCAGTGAAATTCGATGGTGATAGCTAGAGGTTCAGCTTTGCCATTGCTTTAGAACCTTCTCTATGTCTGGAGCACTGGTGGAGGTGGTCTTAAGCTGCAGAGCACACACTGCTCGCTGGAAACTACCAGCAGGTCAGTGGCTGTAACGTTCTGTAAGGAATGATACCATCAAACGAGAGGTGGATGGCTTCAGGCAGGGCAAAGCACAGGATGGTGCAGGAGAAAGCCTGTTGGCTGCTGCTGTGAAGCAGCGTATTCCTGGCACGTGTGTTCATAGCCAGCGACTGAGCTGCCAAGCCCTGTTCTGACACCCTTGCCCTAAATGGCCAACCAGCTGGGGCAACACCTGTAAACTTGGCAGCAGCATCAGTACCTCTAAGAGGAGCGTGGGTTGAATCTCCCAGTGGGACACCTGCAGATGGAAAAAAAACACAGATGGCTGTGCCATCCCAGTCCCTAGCCTGCTGAGCACCAGAATGGCCACTGGCCTGGCCAAAGTCCCAGAACAGCAGCAGAACAGGGCTGGAAAAGCAAGCAAGCAACACAAGGGTCTATGTTTTGAGTAACTCTGCGTGGTAACTCTGCATTCCCCATGCAAAACCAGATCTCTATACATAGATCACACATTGGTTATGAGCTATGGTTCCTATGAAAAAGATAAAGAGAGACAGGGAAATTCCAGTTGAAAGATTTGATATGTAATCCCTTGTTCAGCTCCAGCCAGCACTTTGAACAGAAAGGAATTGTACCCACAACAAAACCAGACAAATGATAAGGATGTTTAGGGAACCTGAGCACTGTTATTTGAGAGTAGAAAAATAAAACTTGGCTAGTTTGGTCTGTCAAACTAAAATATGAAGTAACATATTAATTATGCTTTCCAAATGTTCTGGCTGAGGCCAACACAAACAACAGAGCAAAAGATATTAAAGGGCGAAAGAATAGAAGATACAAACTTTCTGTTGATAATTTCTCCTGGCAATCCAAAGGTTGATTTTCAAGGAGCTGGTAGCTTCAAGAGCAGCCATCCAAACTAAATTCAAAAAACAGGTGAAAAAGAGACAATGACTGAAGAATCATCACAGGATGCGGGTGGCAGCCCTCGCTGCCTCCAGGTGGGCGAGGTGAAAGAAGCTGTAGGGAGACACGTTCTGGTGGATCGCAGCCTGCAGTCACCACTGCGACCATGACTCTGGACTGCTCCCTTACATCAGCTGCTGTTTGGTTTAATGCCCAAGGAGTGTAAATTCCAAAATCCCTAAGGAGTGTTTATTCCCTTTGAAGATGAGGGAGCCAGCACCTCGCACTTTCCTCACTTCTTCTCATGCACTGCTGCTGTTCTGTGTCTCTTCCTCCCTCCTACTCTTTTATGCCTTTTCTTTGCCCTGCTTTCTCTTGCCTAATCACAAATCTTTCTCCCCACACACATGGTTCTTTCAGTGAGTGGGATCACTTCTCCATCATTTTCACTGGCAGGATCTGTATTTAATTTATAAATGAAATAGAGAAGAGAGGGGAAGAGAGTAAATGGCCTCTTCTTCCCTGAGCTCAAGGTTTCTGTCTGCATTTTCATCAGTCTAAAAAAATCTTCACTGTCATATCAGGTGGGCCTGGAGGGATTCTGGAAGAATTTATATTCACCTTTTTTTTTTTCTTCTGGAATAGATGAAGGAACTTAAGTGCTGCTTTATATTCAAGGAAATGTGGTACTGTGAAACTAGGACTAGATTTGTTTTTGAAAGCAACTGTATGACATAATTCCCTCAGATGCCTTATGGTCCAATATTTCTAACTCAGTCCTGTTGCCAGTGAATGCTAGTTTTCCGGCACCCACTTCCAACATCTCATTGTTTTACCACCACAAATAGATCACACATCTCCTACACAGTTCTGTGGCACTACACCCCTACAGGATTTTTTTTAAGATACTGAACCCTGAGTAATGCTTTCATTTCTTAGTCAGATTTATCAGTGGCTGCAATTCCTTCCCATGTTTTTTCTGACCACAGAGAAAGCACAGTTTATGCCAGCAGACTGATTATGTCAGCTTGTCATTTCTGTCTAAGTACTCCAAGTTTATCTAGATACATTACTCAACTTGTTTCCCCAGTTCCTTGCAGGTATTTTTGCAATTTCAGCTGAAGATGCTGAAAATACTGTAAAACAAACATAAAACAACAACATAAAGAAGAAGACAAATATATTTTACTTATTAGTTTTGGAATATAGCAATAATGGCATTGTGAATATGAAACCTCTCCAAGAACACTCCTTTCCTGGCAAAACTGTATTTGCAGACAAAAAGCCATCTTTTCTCTGTGGGTCACATCCGAGAAACTGCATACTTATAAAAAACCTTTTTCAGTAATATTTACACTACAGGCAATATGATCTGTGTTTCCAGAAAGATTAAGTCATAGCAGTCATATGGCATTTCTCTTTTTGATAGAGAAAAATATCAAACTCCTGTCAAAACAGACTAACTTGATTTCT